ATTAACTGCACTTCCAGGAACACGGGCTCAGCTGTGTGTCATAGCACTCTGTTGAGAAAGATTGCTATGCGAGTACAAGTACATTTAGCATTTGAACAACGCCCCAACTTCAAGAGGAAAAAATGATGCTGTTTGTTTTCAGTGTTCAGACATAGAGGGTGTATGGAGTTAATTCCGTTTCATTCATTCATTCATTCATTAACATTTCCTTTAATAATCCGTTTGTGGGTCAGGGGGGTTGACAATCAGAGCTGCCACCCAATGCTTATACCTCCGGTCCCTCGCTGATCCTCCTGCCGGTGGTGGGTCCACAGGATGATGGCTGCTTTGTCAGCGATGAAACAGCTTTGGTCTTTCAGCAAGAGCTTCAGGCAAATTGGAGTTAAAGGACCTATACCCGTTTCTGCAAGGTTTGAATAAGATAAGATATTCTTTATTTATCTCACAAAGGAGGAGAAATGTACATGTTACATTTGGCATGGATAGTGAGGAAATGTGCAAACATGTTAAATGCAGGATATATTCTGTACAATAAAAATAGTGGCAGTTTAAAAGTGGCAATTCACAAGTGGCAATCGGAAATAGTGTCAATATTAGTGCAGGTTTTTCAGTCTTATACAGTGACTAAAAGTGACTTATTGTACAGTCTGACAGCGGTGTGGATAAAGGCCCATGTTTAGCACCGCCCCTCAACTAGTTGTATTTGTGATCTGATACATATGCAAACATAAGCATTGGCGCAACTTCTTGTAAGCTGTACAACTATCACTGATGAAATGGTACAAAAGCAACGCACTGCTAACAAAATATATAAGTGAAAGATTACCGCTAGTTTTGCGACCGAATGTGGTCCGAGGTGATCCGCAACCGCAGGTCTCTCTGGAGAATACGATGTAAGCTTGCCATGTTCACCCGGGCTTGATTTCTTCTTTGACCAAGTGAATATTCTCTTTATTAATAATAGGTATTTAGAGCGTCAATGTATGATTCGGTCTGTAAGTGATATAGCTTGAGGACGACTAATAGTATAATATAGTAGATAAGTATATATATTATTTATTTTCATGTGAAAATTACTCCTCAAACTGCATCTCTGAGCTTATTTATATTTTTAAGTAACCAAGTGTTGAGCATTTAACAACTAATTGAATCGTAAAATGCTTGTAGACATTTGTCCTTGAGTTTCGGGCTGAAACACTCCCATTATGAGTCTAAAACTAGCATTTTGCCACCAAAAACCATTTGACTCGTCACATTTGAGCTCATTCAAACACTCTCAACAGTGTTGAGACCAGGATCAATGCAAATTGTTCTGAGAGTTGGCAATACCTTCTCGCTATGAAGCAAATCGCCTCTTCATGGGAATTTTCAGCATGGACCTTCACATTTCCTGATATTTTGTAAAGGTCATGTTTCACAAGCCATTGAGCTTGAATGCACCTGCCGGTTTGGCGAACATGCAAACGTTCTGGCAGTCTGCGCTCTGGTGGAACATCGACTGTGTCTGATGGGTGTATTAAACTTTGGAGTGAACGTAATGTTTTACTACCACTTCCAAAGTCATTTCCTTTAAATTGCTTGGTTTCAGGTGAACTCACAACACCCCATGACATATAGTCTGATGAAAATGATCTTTAAGTGAGATATTAGAACAATGTTCTCATGTCACTATCAGAATATGATCTCATTTTGTGTTTTTAATAATAACTAACTTTATATAGTTTTGCACCTTGCCTGATAATTGTTATACACACCTGGGGAGGTGTTCTGAGTTCAGGGAAAACCGTCTTTCTATTGTCTGTCAGGTGTCCACTCAGGTTTTCTTTGTTGTCTGCAGCTTTCTGGATAATTGCAATAATAATAATAATGGCACTATAAATAAATAGTTTTTTTTTTTAATCTTTAATCATTAGTATTAATTGTGTTATCAATCAATCAATCAATGCGATCAATCAATTATTTGTAAAGCGCCTTTCCTACACAAGGCAACACAAAGCGCCTCACAACTAGAAGTGTGACGATATATCGATATTGTGATGTATCGTGATACTTTCTCACGCAATCAATTATCGATATGCTTTTGCCAAGTATCAATTTAAAAAATATATATATATATATATATATATATATATTATATTTATTTATCTTTTAAATTAGTATCAATACTTAATATATGGCTTTATTACGCATCTCCATTCCATTTATCATGAAATAAAGTGTATTTTTTCACTTAACATTTTTCTTTTATTTATGCCAATATGTGCTGTATTTGAATCCAGAGTTGAGAATTAGTTAATAATTTACACTTTCGTGTTTATTCAGAATGCTTTACTAAAAGATTTCTATAACAATATATTTTTGACCAATATATTGATAATCGTGATATAATCGTTATCGTGAGCTTTGTATCGCGTATCGTATTGTGAGGTTCCCTGAGGTTCCCACCCCTACTCACAACCCACATCATATCAAGCAAATCATAGACATTAAAATCTACGGATACATATATTATGTCTGAGAAACAGAAAAGCAGTGACCACTACATCTTTACAGCTCTGAACTTTACCTGCTCCCAAACAGTGGAATAGTCTCTCTACATTAGAGCGGCTTCTTCATTGGAGACACATTTGAGTCTTGGCTTTTAACACCAACAGAGTTTGTACTGTTTTACATTTTGAATGTAATTGTGTGTATTTTTATTTTATTTTAATGTTTTGTTTACTTTTTTGTGTGCTCATGAAGCACTTTAGGCAGCTGCTGTTGTTGTAAATGTGCTATACAAACAAAACAGACTTTGGCCTTGACATTGACTACATGACGCATGTGTTGATTGCTCAGTAAGTTTAATTATATACTGTAAATGGATTATAATTATGTTCAAGGGCAAGACGTCATGAGCTCTGGCTTCTTCTCTGATGCCTTTTTCAGACTTAGAGCACAATAACATGCGAGTAATCACTGTTAAAATGTATGAAATTAACATAAACTGAAAATGTTTGAGGGGCAAGATTTTCAATGAGAAGCAATAGCATAAGCTTGAATTGTTAATCTCCGAGACTACTTATTTAATAGACCAGGATAGAGACTGCAATACTAAACTACCATTTACACACAATGCTTGAGAGTACTTCCAGTGCATTCGAGATAGAATGGAGTGTTGTTTTGAATATACCATAAAACTATACACCCTGAGGGCAATGTCACCATTTTTTACATAGCCTTTGAAACTTACATGCAGCCATGAAAATGATAACAAATGTAATTTAATTCAGGCCCTATAAGGAATATATAGAGACGCCCTGATGGCAAGATGAGGAGGAAAAAGCAGCATAGCATGGTGCAAGAGTGTTCTGATAAAGAGAATATAGGATTACGTGGGTGTCACATATATTATTGAGTGGGGTGGGGGGTACGTGTAGCAGTGATCCCCAAGTACAAGGATGAATGAGCCTAATTTCTAAGCGTCTCCAATAAAGGGAGAGAGAGGAAGAGCTTGCAGGCTGCAAATCAATCATTACTTTGTTTGCGGCTTTGCGTTCGTGTGTGTGGGGAGGCATATGCGGACGAGGCATGCATACCAAAACGGGAATAAAACTGCACGACTGGCAATTGGAGCTGCCTGGAAGTATGTGTGTGTGTGTGTGTGTGTGCGTGTGTCTGGGGGGGGGGGGGGGGGGGGGGGGTATATATTGATGCCGGTATGAATATAAAAAGGGTTTAGGTATACCAACTGAAGCTGTGAGAAGAATGGAATAGTCAAGTTTCCTAATTTGATCTCTACAACAGTAAAGAAATACTGTACTATTTTTTGAAAACATTTCTGTAGATTTACAAGCATCTACTGAAATACTTGGGTAGGCTGTGCTCATTAAGAGACAAAAAATAGGGTTTTTATTTAAAGATTGACATGCGAAAGGAGTCTTCAGTTGCCACCACACACTCAGACAAACAGCAGCATGTGGAAGAGATGTGTGGAAAACCATTGGAATATTTATTGGAGAAATAACAAAAGTTGGCTAAACATGTGAGGTTATTCTGTAGGAAACCGCTAACTTCACTCTAACCAGCATAATGGTTTCGTTTGGATGGGCATGCCCTTTTCTGTTGGCACTCATATTCTTGCTAGTATGGGTTTGTAGAGCTTTTCCCATCATCAAAATCAGAACAGCCACATTTTTTCTCAGCCTTGCCACTTTTGCATTGTATAATCATTCCCCCCAAAGCTTTGAAAAATGGTTGAAAAATGTCCCCTGTGGCAATCAATGGGATAATGTTGAATCTGAATGGCCCAGCCCCCAATCATTTGTAGCGACCTGTTTTGGAAGTGATGAAGCTTGTGGAAGTCCTCTGCATTCTAACTTAAGAAAAAAAAGTGCAATTGATAAGAAACATAATGAATAAGTCATTAAAATAATAAAAACATTTCCCCTATACCGCTATGCTGGCCGAATTATGACTGACAACTGCCAAAGTCTCTAATATACATTTATTTTTCACATAGATTTGATGTTTTTTATTGTCATACAGATAAATATTTTCAACATGCATCAAATTCATACTTGAGGGAAACAATCAATTGCGTATTACCTCATTCCTTAAACTCCACTGTATTTATTTATATTTATTTTTTATTGAACTATTAGTTGTCCTCTATCTATTTCTCTTTCTCTTTGTCTGTTTCACATCAAATGATAGTGGATACAACCTCAGCAATATCCATGGTTAGAGTAATAAAGACTGAAATAGTTGAAACGCCACCTGGTTAGAATTCCATAACTACATCGGTGTATGGATGATCTAGGTCAGACCTCATGTGCTTCAAACCTGAAATGGGCCGAATGCATCCCTGCAAGGAACACAAAGTTAAGAATGCATTTGCGAAGAGAATAATTATTTCTGAATGTAGCTAACAGCACCACCATCTCAGTTCCAGCCTGAAAATCGTCAAAATGTATTTCATGCATATGCTGTGTCTTAATTGCATTGTTTTTCTCTTGCAGGAGGAGAGGTGCCCTACACCACCCTGGCCACCCGCATGATGATGGGCGTTTGGTGGATGTTCGCGCTCATCGTCATCTCTTCGTACACGGCCAATCTGGCAGCCTTCCTCACCATCTCCAGGATCGAGAACTCTATACAGTAAGTATGGCTTGCCTCATTAGACAGACATGCTGTATAGGATAATTAGAGCTCTTTTTGCGGCCGCTAACCTTTCAGCTAAGAAGGCAGAGCACTTTCCATGTGCGTGTGAATATTCCACATGTGCATACATTAACATTTACACACAAAAATACATTTTATTTTATCATCAGGACTTATTTGGATAAAAAGCCAGGCTACACCGATTGGGTCTAGTTTTCAGCATATTGAATCACAAAACAACTTCATACACTAGACTAGACTTCACGAATGGAAAGATGAGGCAACACAAATCCTGAATTATTTCCCAAACAATAACTCTTCTGTCTCAGTCTGTATGACATCATACAGACTGACAACTCATGTTGCGGTTTTGTGCTGTTTAACACCTATTTTCTCTAGATTTGTAATGGGCTTTTGTCAAATTCATGCTTTAATACCGCATACCTTCTTTTAGATCTCTATTAAATAGATGTAGATTCTCTTATCACGTTATACATGCATGTATGACATACATACACATCTAAATGTATCAAATGTATATATGTATCAGAATCATGTTAATGGGCCTAAATAAATACATTCATTCATTTTCAACCCCTTTATTAGTCCATTTCTGGGTCGGGGGGGTGGCAATGAGAGCTACCCAATGCTCATAGCACCAGTCCCTCGCTGATCCTCTGCAGGTGGTGAGTCCACAGGAAGATGGCTGCTCCGTCAGCGGTGAAACCATGGATCTATAATAATAACTGGATAGGGTATTACTATAGCTGTCCCACCTACTGTATGGGCACAGGGGGCGCCCGTGGTACTGCAGACTAAATTCATGAGGGCTACCCAGAAAAAAGTCTCATAGAACTCATTGTAAATTAAAACAGCTCGACCTCAGCTGACAGAGAACCTACAGCTTTCATAAAGATCGGATTTTGTAGGGATTTTAGTGTCCCTTGTCATCCTGAACTTGTTTTCTTCTTAAATCCTTCGGTTTTCTTGTCGCCCTTTGTAATATGTATATAATGTGTTAAATTAAAAGGAACAAATATCAAACTGCAAAACTAAAAGATAATGTTTTTCTTAGCCTAAATATGGATATGGTTCTCCAGTGTGTTTATGGGATCTGCAAATGTAATTGTCGGACCATTTGGTGTTTTCAAATGTGATGCATTATTAACACTGTAACAGGGAATTTACACAGTAGGCGTTTACACAGTAGGCGTAAACAGCGCGTACGCGTTTACTGCGCGCTCTCTGCGCGTAACATTTTTTTGGAGTATCTACACAGGCCGTGCGCGCAGGTCCGCGTCTTCTGATGCTCTCCCTGTGTAGTCTATGGAGCAGTGTAGAGGACAGCACGGGCCAGAGGACTGATGTAGAGCAACACAAATCACATGCATGTGTTTGTCTTCATGGTCTCTGTGCGCTGGTTTGGCCAGACGTGAGACTTTATGAAAGGAAAAAAAAACGATGTCCAGAATCACTGTAAAACCTGCTGCTCCTCCTGCTGATGTTTAGACACAAGTGCTGTGTGTGTGTAGATGCGATCTAGAGCCAAGGACCGCTAGAAAAATCATGTTTTACATGAGATTTCAATGGGAGACGCGTTGGTGCGCGCACAAAATTAGAAATCCAGCCTAAATTAGAGCGCAGCTTCGCGTCATACGTCCGTCATACGCGCGTATAACGCTAGAAGTGTAAATATCATCATAGGTTAACATGGAAAAAAGTTACGCGCGTCTGCTGCGCGTATAACACGTACGTGCTGTAACGCGTGATGTGTAAATTAGCAGTTAGAGCGCAGCTTCGCGTCATACGTCCGTCATACTGTACACGCGTATAACGCTAGAAGTGTAAATATCATCATAGGTTAACATAGAAAAAAGTTACGCGCGTCTGCTGCGCGTATAACGCTTACGTGCTGTAACGCGTGATGTGTAAATTTGCAGTAAGTATCATAAAATGCAAGTATTGTAAAAGTGAGCTGTCATAAGTGCTTAAGGTAGCCCGCTGCCTGCTATGGTCCAGATAACACCAGGCCTAATGACAAGATTGCCCACTTTACCGTATTTTTTCCACACGTTGGTTAGTGATTGTTCCACCCACACACTGTCCTCTTCTTATCTAGCGGCACAACAATATGTTTTCTGGGTGTGTTCCTGGTGGCATTCGGATGCACTCATCTCTCATTGGGCTAATCAGTATGCTGAAACATCCGCCATGCCTGCCAGTGACACACTTAATTGTGCTTAGCTGCGGAATAAACAACATTTATTTCTCCAAATCTCATTACTATCTGTCTCTTAATTTGTTTGTTGTGCTTCCTTTGTACTTTCCCCCTCTTTTTGTCATGAGCAGACATCCTGTTAAATTTTCATGACTTTTACGTCTGTGTTTGCATTACCTTCAATGACTTCAAATCCAATTTTCTAGAAAGTCACACTTTGTTGTAGTTTAATTCTATTCTTTCTAAACGTTGTATTTTGTCCTCGCCTTGCCTTCTTGCCTCATTCAGCACTGAAGTAATTGTGGATTTCCATAAATTTTAATGCATAATGTTTAATTTGTTGACTCTACTGGGGTCATTAGTGGCATAATTATCACCAAAATGGCAGCCGGTTCAGGCCCTGGGCTTGTGTCGCTCACTGAGCAGTGAGTGTGAACCCACCCATGGTAAAAGCTCTCAGGAGTCGCACTGCAGAACGTCGCCCCAGAGGAGAGAAGACGAGATACATGTAACACTCCGATCATTAGCACTGTTAGGCCCTTAATGAGTTTATTAACACAGTGCAGGACGGAATATGAGGAAGGAATGAAGGATTGAGAATTGCATTGAGAATAGTGACAACAATGTGGCTTCAAATAAGCTTTTCTCAAAGTTTAAGAGGTGACACAAAGAGTTTCAAGATGTCAGTGACTGACATAAAACTCTGATTAAAGAATCACAGTAAAGTTTTCATTCACTTACATCACAATGTAGTCGATATGGGGCTATTTGTTAAAGCCAGGAGCTTTTCTGCCTGAGAAGAGTGCACCGCACCACCATTGTTCAACCACTTTCTTCCAAAAGTGTTTTATTCTCCTTACAATGGCTCTAATAAGTTATTACTATGCCCAGACTACTGAAGGGAAAAGACCGACATTTCCAATTGTATTATGTGGCAGCCGCTAGTCATTAGCATTTCAACTAGTAGACTTGCACAGTCAAATTGCTGTTGTTGAATAGTTTCTCAATGAATGCCCCTAATACTTATGCATCAACAAGTTATTTTGACCATTTTTTTGTCACAACCAACCTCAATGCTACAATGGCCTTCAAACCACACACAGTAAATACAAATGACTACAATGGTGGACAACATTCTATCGGTGTTATTAGTTATCAATGGTTCTGGGAAAAAGAAAAAATATCCCCATCAATGCCAATCTAAAGGAGGAGTGAGGGAGTGCATTGTGTATGTATGTATGGCTTCATTTCATATTATGGCAAATGAAGTAGATTTTGTAAGCGAATGATTGGAAGATAGAATTAGCTAGAGACGGCAAAAAGCAAAATCATGCACAGGCGCCAGTTTGAGAGCACTAGGTTGTCTCCGGGAGCTGTCCTGGCAGTTTTAAGTATTAATGCCCTTGTTTCATCCTGGAAATGAAATAACAAGGGAACCTCTGTGGACTATTTCACGCTTGGATGTTTTTCCCTCAATTTCCCTGTGAATCCTTGAGGAAAACGCAAGCAGGCTGGTGCCAGCACAGGAGCAGCAGGGGAGAGAGGGAGAGAGACACAAACTGCATACAGGCCAAATCAGTAGGCAGCTGCAGAGATAAGATGTCCAGACAATAGAGAGGGCAGAGGGAGAAGAGATAGTTCTGAGCTCAAATGGATGTAGCATAGCAAAACCATAGAGGACTCAGTTTTACTACTACCGAATGACTCATTGGCATTTGATTTTACATGTAACCAAATCACATCTATTGAACAATGCACATTTCCTATAGGAAATGTGCATTGTTCAATACATACACTTGAAATGACTTTTTAAAACAACAATCTTTCGTTTCATTTTCACAGTGAACATGTGTCGTCCCTCCACAGACCTGACCTGTGAGATGTAGGCCATTGAGTCGATAAATCCTTTTGTTTGAAAAGTTGAGAATGAGGTCAGCTGGACCATGGGTGCTTCCTTACTTTTATTTCAAGCAAGCTTGTTTGTGAAAGCTGCTGGGTATAGCATGCAGGTGGGATGAAGCAATAGTACACAAACAGATCTGCTTCTAAATACACCTTTTGACACTTGCCAAAATATATAACACTTTTACTTACCAGTAATAAAAGCGGGCTAAAAGCAAGTGCATTTGCCCATTTCGTCTTCCATGTGTAGTCTCATAATTCTTTGCTCAGGTAGGGTTCCAGGCATTCAGCTGTTCTCTGGGTCTCTTTATTGTGTTTTCTTTTTTGCTTCTTGACAGATGTAAAACTGTCAGCCAGTTGGGGAAGAAATGTAAAACTCCTGGAGATGTGGAAGATCAAAGTCAGGCAATGTTTTTGTTTTTCCAGTTCCAGGATAAATTTTATCTTAGCTCTTGCTTCTTTATTATGTGAAAGATGCAGATTTTAGACTTGCTTCTTTATTATGCTAAAGCTAGATATTTCATACTACTTCTTTATTATGCTAAAGCTAGAGATTTCATACTGCTTATTAATCATGCTAAAGTTAGAGATTTTATTTTATTTTGGTATAGAGTTATTGTTGACTTGTTATGTGCTGTGTGCTCCTCATTCCTTCTGTTATTGCTCATGGAACACTGACAGTGGGACTAATGCAGGATTTCTAATATTAATTACAGAATCACGAATCAAATATAGTCCAAACATTTGCTAGAAGGTTAATAAGACTCCCACATGTACTATATTTGCCTGGACATTTTTAAATTTTGACATTTTCAGTAAAACCGCCATCAGCTGTTAAGAGCCTTAGACACTCAGCTCACTTAGACACCTTACTTTT